AAAGACACGGTTCAACACCGAAGTCGAGCATCACTGGAAGCAGTCAGTAAACGGGTGCGTTACCACTTTGAACAGCCTACGTAGGGACCGAGGGTGAGCGGTCCTCGTTAAACTGCTCTATCGTAAGTGCTCGACTTTTCAGCGCAGGTCGTCGGGCTGCGGAAGAGCCATCCCCTCTGCAAATGATCAAAATTGTGATGGCATGTCTTCTGATCCTCCTCGGGATGTTCCCCAGACCGTCGCCAATAGCCCATAGTGCAGCTCTAGTGCGACGTAAATAAAAACCAATCCCTGAAAGCAATCGACTGAACATTATGTGTCTTCTGTTGGGGAATACCGTATCGTCCATTGACTGACCAAAGAAAAATGCGTCGAAATTCTAACAGCAACTGTATGAAATCATTTGATAGTTTCCTTGACCTTTGCAACTGTATCGCTAAGGAGGAAATCGGAATTGGTAAATAAGTGTTTTCCAAGTCCCGAAAGTCTGAAATGGCACATCCAACGAATAAATTTGCGCAACAAAATGGAGACGCCCTATTCACACTATCGCGTTGCTTATCATATGACGCTCTCACGCAGGCGGTAAACTGTTTCTTTTGGTTTCCAACCACAAAATAGCATGAAAAAGAAATAATATTTCGCCTTCAGGGAGATGGAGTGTGAAAAAAATGCAATAGGTGAAGCGGCCGGATAATTAGCTAGTAAAAAGTCAGTGGACCGCTTATAAAAGTAGTTGTTGCCTTTCACCGCCTCAGAAGAAAAATTTTTCTTTTTTTGAATTGCAATTGAGAGGAGGGAGACAAAAAAAAATAAAAATAAATTTCATGGGTCTAGAGAAAGGAAAGGCAATTAGATGATAACGACGGAATCCGCCAATCGTGAACCAGCTATTACGGGTGGTAGGGAGATGGGGGGCCGGGCCTGTTCTCAAGCATGTCATTACATTGCGGATCGCCCCATTTATAATCCTGCTAAATATACGAAGGTTTTTTTCTTCTTCTTTCTCTCCCTACTTTCCAGCACCCGGAAAGGAGCACCAGAAAAGTAAAACGACGACCCCTTTTGAAATAAAAGTGGGGGAAGAGAGGGAGTGTGATATCAGTTCTATATGGTTTCGATATCGTGGGAAAAGTCTAGATAAATGCTCTTTTTTAATTAAATGTTTTTTTTTTAAAGCCTTACTTGCGGATCTAGGATTTCAATGAAATAACTGATTTTGGAAAGTTAATTAATCTTCGTAAGTGTCGGGGAAATAACTCCGACGGGGGGCATAAATAAGCGTATTTGGAATGTGGCCATGGAGGGAAGGATCAAAAGATTGGATTGAATCTCAGTAAATAAGTAAATGACCACATTTTTTTAAATTTAATATTGAAAAACAACTGGAATTTCGAGTTGTAGTGTATGAATGGAATTACCAAAATGACTTAATTGCAATTCTAAAAACTTGCGACATTTTTGATTCTGGTGTTTTTGAGGATGAATTATAAAAGGTACAACTCCTTGATGAGCAATCGGGAAAGAGGAACTAGAAGACAAATAGCTCTTCCAGAATGAACAGTCATCTTTTTTTTTTTTAATCTTAATGCATTCATATTCTCCCCCTCAGAAATTACGTCTCTGAAAGTGCTAATTATTAAGTTATTTTTAATTAAAATAACACCTACTTTCGTTTTTAGATTGCATGGGGATCACGTGATTTTTCACTTATGGACGTTACTCTAGCCTATTTTTTTTCATATAATATAGCTTATTCCCTAGCTTTTGTTTACAACCCTTGCGCATTGAAAGTCATAGCTGCTTGTAGTCAACCCTCGAAAATGAGGAAATTCAAACTGCATTCGCTTGACCCCGAATTACGATTTTTTTTCTACTACTCGTATTTCGGCCGTAATCCAAAAAATTAAATGTGTGGGCTAACCTCATATTCTTACTCCGAATAAATAAAAAATATAATCTTTATAGTCTATTTGCTTACCACAAATGGCTATCTCTTATTTAATTATTTATTTATTTTTAGCATTAGCCTTAAATATGAAAAAATTTAGGGACAACGTGAAATTAGAAAACGAAAACGAAAAAAAAAAAAATCAAAATTTTCAACCACGTCCGTTTGATCACATTTTGACTAGAAATGAACATTTAGTTTGTTTGTTTTTTATCACACTTATTTTAGCCGTAATCCTAAAAATAAAGTTTGGTGGTAAGGCCTGCTTACACAGTCCAAGTTCTTGAATCCGAGAAATTGGAAGAATTTCTCTGTCCAAGAAATTGGATGATTCGTCGACACTATCCAAGTTCTTGAATGTCACTGATTGGTCGGAAGAAAGCGCATGCGCATTGTTCATATGCAATATCATAAAATAATACTTACATAAGTTTAAAATTACTAAATAGTAGAGTCCCGATAATCCGAGCCCCGGTTATCCGAGTTTCCGCTTTAACCGAGCTATCAAATATTTTAAAGGTTTTTTAGTTCTAGTTTATTTTTTATTTTTAAAGATACCGCCGAAAAATAAATCTGAATTTTATCTTCCAAACACTCGGGAAAACAAAATCTAACAACTTGATCCCATGAAATGATCGTTAATATCGTCAATAATGAAAATGAACCTAGCGAAGATGATGAAGACAGTGACGATGAAAATCAACATATAAAAATCTCTCACACAGATGAACTTAAAGCTGTCGAAAATGCTACTGAATACATAGAACAACAAAAAGAGGCGACACCAGCCTTCCTGTTATCCCTAAAAAATGGCGAAACATTGCTGCAGAAAAGCACCAAAGTTATGTAAAACGATTAAGGACTTTTTTTAAGTCCTTAATCGTTAATAATAGGTAATAATAGGTGTAATAATAATGTAATAATAGGTGTTAATAATAGGAATTGTATGTGGTATACTCGTATAAATTTTATATTTTTTAAATATATTACATTTATACCAACTCTTCCTTTCTTTTTTTATGCTCTTCGTTTTAACCGAGTTTTTCAGTTATCCGAGTCAGTCGTGGTCCACATTAACTCGGATAATCGGGACTCTACTGTAAATTCAAATAAAATCATAATAACACAAATAAACCGTAACAGAACAATTTATTTGGACTAAAATATATGAAAACAGACAACAAAATGACATGATCTGATGCCTGCTTGTTGACGTCACAAAACGTAAGACACTGATTGGTTAAGGGAGAAAAAACTTGGATGGAAAGAAGAACATGCTCTATTATCGTCAAAGGACTTGGACCAAGCACTTGATCGCTTACATGATCCAAGCTCAAAGCAAAACAAGTTTCCATCAATATCAATAAATTTTCGGCCAAGAACTTGGATCGTTTAAACAGACCTGTAGTGTTCAGTTTGCTACCAAGAACGAGAAAAATTACAAATTCCAACAGCATTCGTTTAATGGCAAATGACAGTCTTTTCGTCGACCGTCAGCCGTCTTTTAATGGCAAATGACCACCTATTTCTTTCATTACTCTTTTATTACCTAAAATCCTAAAAACAAGGTGTTGATGTAGCGAAGTTAGCCCCCCAAAATGAGGAAATTCAAAAACTTCAGCTTCATTCATTTGACCGTTAACGGCCGCCATTTTTCCCTCCTTTCGTCATAATCCCAAAAATAAGACTGCTTATGCAGTATCTTAAAGTTAGTACCCAAATAAGAGGAAAATCAAAAATTTCAACAAAATTCGTTTGACCTCATTTTGACTACAATTGACCACCTTTTAGTTCTTTTTTTTTTACCTCCCTTATTTTAGCCATAATCTTAAAAATAAGGTTCGGGGGCAGCGTGAGGTCAGCCTCTGAAAATGATTAAAAATCAAAAATTTCATCTGCATTGATTTGATCACCCACCTTAAAAATGAAGCTCAAAGTCATGTGCAACGTGAAATTATCTCTTTAAAAAAGTGAGCTCCCCTAAATTCGAATGTTTAGTGAGGATGAATTAATTTTGCTGATTGTCAATAATGCCCAAACGTTGCTTTGCAATTTTTAATGATTCTGATCATTTAATTAAGATTTTGTCTTAAAGTAAAATTCAAAAGATGGAGTTTTGCTTTCGGATAAAATTTATATAATTTTATATGCATTTATTAGTTTTGATAATAAAAACACCACGCTGCCGTTTAAGCTATGACCAAAAATTTTCTTTTTGAATATTTAAATTTCATTTTATTTCATTAAAAATAATATCTTCTGACTTGCAGATCATTCTAGCAAATCTGCTACTCGTTTTGGAATAACACGCGTTTTAGAATAAAAACAGGTGTTAATATGAAAATGCACATTCTTTTTAGCAGCAATACTATATGACTCATAAGTCAAATTGAAGGTAATCTTCGTTTAAGCAAACTAAAGCATTTCTTATGCATTTTCCTTAGCAGTGCAAAGTTTAAACACACGTATCTCAAAACATGATTTTTTGGAGTCATGGTGGTATTGCAGCCCATGAGCGATATATATATATATATATATGGACAT